GTAGCCGAGTTAAAAAAATAGCCGAGGTGACCAAAGTATTTCGCGCTCGAGCTGCAAACAACATTTTTTCTACAAACGTCAAAAAGTATCGTTCTTAAGTAAAAATATGCTTAGCTTGATATAAAAAATAGTGTTGAAATGGCTTAAAAGGCCTCCCCGTATCCTCCCTAGATACGCACGAACATAATAGGAATTTCCTTTCGTGCGCTCCAAGAGATAAAACAACGTTATTGTCGAACATTCAAAAACAAATAATTTCGTGGATGTTTGCTCGATTGAGGACCATGAAGTGGAAATATAAATATCTCATATATTTTACATAAAAATGCGCGAAGTAGGTACTTCGCGCACTGTTTTACTTCGCGCATTGTTTTGTGCAAGGTATCATGGTAACGTAGGAAACTGAAAAAAGTGTCAGTTCGCAATTTGTTATCAATGCGCGAACCATTTTTTGACGATTATAGAAAATAGTTATTTTAGTATCTAGAGCGCGAAATGCTACTTTGGTGATCGAGATCTGATTTTTTCAACGAGGCGTAGCCGAGTTAAAAAAATAGTCGAGATGACCAAAGTATTTCGCGCTCGAGTTGCAAACAGAATTATTTCTACAAACGTCAAAAAATGACGAGGTTCACGCATTGATAACAACGTTTCATGTCCAAACAGGTATTACACGCGATTACATGACAAGCAATATTATCAACACAGCAAACTTAGTACTAGAATGATGAATTAACATCTTAATTCTGAGGAGAATATTTCCTACAAGTATTTTGATACAACCTGTTGATATTGAAAATAGATCTAATAGATTGCAGATAATATTAATATTCTTACTCTTGCGGTATACGGGAGATTTGACTATGATATTTGTTCTTGGTGTTGTTAAAAGGGTGATTCACCATAAATGTCCCCCCCTCTAGCTCACTTATTTTTGAACCGTTTTAAAAATTTGAAAGATAATCTAAAATGATTTTTCTGAATTTTTTTTCCCGTTGCATCAGAAAATACAGGGTGCTCGGAACAAACGATCTACAGAGTACTAATTGATTTTTTTAAATGGAACACCCTGTATTTTATTGTATTTTTAGATTCTTCCTGAAGAGCTGATTTCATCAATATATCACACTTGGGGTTTAGCGGGAATGATTACAGAGATATAGGGTGTTCAGAATCGAGATTTTTCAACTTTAGGATTTTTTTGTGCCGAAACTATTCATTATTGGTCAAAACGGCTTCTATGTTCCCATCCCAACTTTCGATTTACTATCTAGTGAAATTTAATTGGACCATTTACAGGGTGGTTCAAGATTCAGAATTCTGGTCACCCTGTATCTGTTACAATTATTAAATGTCAGTAGATAGTAAATCAAAAGTTAAGATACGGACATGAAAACCGCGTGACCGATCCGAAAATCCTAAAGTTAAAAATCTCGATTTTGAACACCCTATATCTCTGTAATCAGTCCCGCTAGACCCCAAGTGTGATACATTGATCAAATCAGCTCTTCAGGGAGAATCTAAAAATACAATGAAAAATAGGGTGTTCCATTCAAAAAAATCAAATAGTACCCTGTAGATCGTTTGTTCCGAGCACCCTGTATTATCTGATCTAGCGGAAAAAAACTTTATCGAAAATCATTCAAGATGATATTTCAAATTTTAAAATCGGTTCAAAAATAACTGAGCTAGAGGGGGGACATTTATGGTGAATCACCCTGTACAGTGCGGCCCAAATAAATCGTAACGACTCCTGTGAAAATCCCTTCAAAAATTCGGTTTATGCACCCGGACTAATATTTATTCTAACCACCCACTGTTTCAATAACTTATTTCTTATTGTGGTACGAGATAATCCGGTATATCTCTGAATATTTCCATCAACATTTGGGGTTGATATTCACGCGCTAGAGTAATATTTTCTGCTTCATCTAATGAAGCTGACTGAAAAAAAAAACGAGCATCTAGATAAAGAACTTCTTGATGATATAAAAAACTGACGTTAGTATATCTTCCAAATAATCTTCCCATGAAATCATCTTCCTTAATCGTTCTTAATAAATATTTTTCTCTGAATTCAATGATTTTCCAATTTTTTACATAAGAACTAATTCTTCTCAGCATGTGCGATGGGAAAACGGTATACACCCAGACACCCTATTATTTTGAAAAGCGCGATCATCTATTTCCAGAAATCCTAATTCGCTGGGAAACTTCGTAGATATAGAGGGGGTCCAAAATGTGTAAATTTTTAAAATCGCCCTGTATCTCATAAACGGAAACACGGAAACAGTCATGCAAAATCGGATTAAGCCACCTTGATTCTTACAAATAAGTGGCACAGGACCGCAAAAACTGCAAGGTTCTATCTCCAAAGATAACTGAGATATCACGCAAGGCATCGAAAACTGGACACACTGTACATATGGAAGAGCAGGATCTAATTGCGTTACTCACGTGACAAGGTTAGATCCTGAATCTGCCTTCTGATAGGAGTGTACGTTAGTTTTTTTTACCACGAAATAATGTAAATTATTGTAAATCATTCGTTCCTGTCAATAAAATCTATTTCAATTAATATTATAATTAAAACTGGACACACTGTACATATAATATAATATATATAATAATATAATATAATAATATCAAACTTTATTAGCACAGTGCTCTTCATTACAGTTAAATCTACAATAAAATACAATAAGTCAATAAATAAAAACATAGAAATATGGAACTAAGACACAGACACGTGAATTACGTCACATATTTTAATATAAGGGTAATTAACAGATTTCTCCTTTCTCAATTGATCAATCAATAATTTTCTTTCACAAATAACACACACGATTCTTTAAAACTATCTAGTGACACACACCTACCGTAAGTTTCGAACCTACGTCTCTGTCGACCACAGTGCTCGTACAAAATATCTCGATTAATCACGGCAACGCCGCAAATACAGACAACGATTTATAATTAGGCAGTAAATTTCTCTGAAAACAAATGACGACAGAAATGCATGTAGACCAATAGGGAAGGCAATTTGTGACGAACGAATTGGCATGGTAAATAATCCCGAGCAAGGTTTGTATACGTGACAAGTACACGGCACCGATATGGGGGTGGGGAGTATTGTAAGGGGTAGAGGGGGGGGGCTATCGAATCGCCTATGAAACAATTAGCACCGAGATTTATTGCCCGAGAGAAAAAACAATGATATATCTCGTGATTTGCTATACCTATATTGTGTATACTGCGATTATGTTGGGAAAATTTGTTCATGTACTCAGGAAATCGAAATCATTTTCGAGAATTCATGATATGATCAAAGTGTTCTGAACTACGCAACATTAAATTCGTCGCACCCCAAAATTTTCTATTTTGAACAATTTGAATTCGGATTACACCAGGATCCATTGACTTTCTTCGAAAAAGTCATGAATTCATTCAAATTCTTGAAAATGAGACAAATTGGCAAATTGCACTATTACCTTCGATTTTAACTAGTTTAAACTGATCGATCGTATTTTGGCAAGACTTTGATGTTTCAAGCATGACAGAGATTTTTACTAACAAATATGTACAGTATCAAGTATCATCCATAAAGTCCATAACATAAAAGAACAGGTTTATTATCACAGCATCGAATTTTTTCCTCTCGGCGATCCATTATGCATATCCGATAACTTGAAAATCGATTTTTACACATGTCACGTGATCACTGGTATGGTGATAAATAAAAATAATACTATAAAGCGACGAAAAGTGGGGTTAGATAACAAAATATCCATAAACATTTCTTATTAAGTTGCTATTCCACATTCAGTTTCGAGCAATTTTTGGAGGAGAATTGGAAATAGTTATATTTTTTAGAATATTCTTCAATTTTGTTACAATTCTCTTTTTTTTCTGACAGTAGTGATGTTGATGATGTACAAGTTGAATAGAATTCAATTTCATGCTCACATATGGAGTTTCCAGCCATTATTTGAGAAAACTGAAAATAGCTATTTTTATTTTTTTCAAATAACTTCATCTTCCCATTTACCCCACTTTTTGCCATCGTAATTTTTTTAATTTACCGCCATACCAGTGATCAAGTGAATAACTGAAAATTACGTAAAATTATGTGAAATAATCGGTTCTGAAAATTTCTTTCTCACAATATCATCAGAACGACAGAGAAAACATACCTACCCTGTTTCAGAATTCGTATCTCAAAACTCACCCTGGAAACCACCTTCGAGTAAATGAAAATTATGTAAAATCATCGTTTCTGGAAGTGTCTTCCCCACAGTATATTCTAAACGAAGACAGAAATCATACCTTTTTCAGAATTTTTATGTCAAAACCTTACTTGGAAACTATCTCCGTTGTGTTATGCTCATGCAACATCATTCAAAATGATCTGAGGAATGACCCATGGATAGCAATGTCAACTGTCAGTTTATTCCCAAGCTTAAAAAATTCAAATTCATCATCTGTCCACTTTTTATGAGGGCCTTGTTTCCTCTTGAAAACAGAACTAGAACACTAGAACTGCATGACTGAAAATACAATTTCCTTCTCTAAGATTGACACATAGTTCTTGTTCTTATTCTTACCATTTTTAAAATACCTTTATCCAAATCAAAATGATCAATACCAGAGATTAGTTACAATAATCAGAGGTATTTATATTGTGCTTTACTCTCATGCCACGCAGCTCAAACAATAAAAATTCGTTATTAATCATAATTTTTAATAATAACAATAAACCTGACCTCACCACTTGAAACCGGTCACGGGATAAAATTCTGTCAGAACAGTTTCGTAAGAACGGCAATTTTGTAATCTTACACAAGAAAATGGTAGTGTAAGATTAAAGTTACGAAGGACCGCGTATCCTAATCGACCAATCAGATTAGTTTGCTGAATACGACGATACAAAAATACGATAATACGAAGCATTATACGAGAACCAGGAATACCCCAATTGTGTTTTTACTTTTCGGACTCACCCATTTGGGCTTCCTGTTCTCCTTCTCGCTCGACTTCGGCGTATGCCGCGGACTCAGATCGTCCTCCACCGAGGCCAGCCTGTTGAATTTCTGAGTCCGCTCCTTGACGCTGATACCGGTATCATCCCTGTCGGCCTCCGAGTCCGCATTCGGTCTTTTGGGGGTGGTTAAATCGACCCCCGGTCGAGACCTCATCGATTCTCTCCTTCTTGGAGGCGCCTAAAACCATAATAGGAATAATAATTATAATAATAATAAGAATAGTTATTTATTATACACAAAGTGTTCGGCTCGGAAATCAAACGAAGATAAACAATATCGTTGTGTGAGACAAAAAAGTTATCCAATCAATCAGATACCGAGAATGAATGAAATACATATCAACCAAGTATGTGCATCTTGAAGGCTTCCCTGATCAAAACAAAAATACATAACTATAATATGGTGTATTTATATCTTCAGCATGAGTATGAAATGTCGAATCTGCCGAAAATTGGTAACAAATGAGGTATGCTTGTCGACCCAAAGAACCAACCATAACATAGTTATTTATTATACAAGGGACAAAAGTAGTAGATTTTAGTTCGAGGTTGTGTGAGCTAAAATCAAATATTTTTCTTGTGTATAATACACTATTTTTTTCTGTGACAAAAGAAAGGACGAATCAATATTGAGAAGATATAACATTATTTTGAAATCTGAAAATTATCGACGTGAAATTTCAATTTTTTAACAGTAGGGACACCTGCGTTGTAGGCATCTTTATCATTCTTTTGAAGTAATCAAATATCTGATGTCACTTCTGTCAGTCTAATTCTGTGATTTCATTTCAAAAAATTGCGAATTTAGTGGTTGTTTAGTAATTTCTATAACCGCGAAGTCGAATGGAAGATAGAAGGACTTGCAGTTTTTCTCGGAGACGGTATTATTGATTCATTTTCCGGAACTATAGCACAACAAAAGCCATCAACAGTGTATATGTATATATATATGTGATATATATCCGGGAAAAAAGTACTCACTTTTTTCCCACGGGAAAAAAGTAATTTATGAAAAGTGACATTTTATAACCTGCCAACAGAGATGAAATGCCAAACTTTTTTCCCGTCACAGAAAAAAATATTTCTCACAGTATGAGCAATACATTGTTTTGAAACTAAGTTTGCTATGAGAAATGCGCTACTTTTCATAGCAGTAGTAGAAAAAATCTATTTCTTATTCCCTCACCTGTGGAGCATCATTGACAGAACTGACAGACCCAATAGACAGCGTGTCTAACGACGACGTAGAAGCGTACACAGGCGGCGGTGGTGGCCTGTAAGGAGGCGGTTGTCTCGGGGGCGACATCGCCAAGGCATTATCCACCTCCGAGGGCATTGCCGGGGACGAGGGGATTCCCAGGGAGTTCCTGGGATCGGCGGTGGCATCGTTCAGGTACTGGGGAAGAGAGGGGGACGGAGGCGGGTGGGGGGTGTCGAGGTATTTGGGCTTGAGGACCAGCAGCTTTTCCTTCTCGTTGTCCAAGCGTGTGGAGGCCAAGACGTTGACGAAGTCTTTGAATCTCTTCCTGTTTTCATCTGAAATCGATATCGGGAGATTGGGACGAGCGGTAGACAACTCCAGCGAAATGTGTACACCATAATCTATAGGTACTCAATTAATCAACTGTACTCAATCTATAATCAAATGTAATCGAATACTCAAAATTGGATGAACAATATCTCGAATGTAATCAACAAGTCTCAAATGCAGTTTGTTTCAAATTTAATCAAATTGTATCAAAAGTAATCAAATCGTCTCAAATGTAATCAGATAGTCCCAATTGTAATGAAAAACATCTCAAATGTAATCAAAATGTCTCAAAGAGTACTCAACATAATCAAATACTCAAGAAGTCTGAAAATTACTCAGATTGTATCAACAGGTATTCACTTATCCAGTGTACACCAGTATAAAACGAGTTGTCTACCCCTCGGATTGGGATATTGTCTCGGATTTGGTCGAATTGAAAGCATATCGCATACAAAAAAAAACGAGTTACAATAATCCGAAATGATAGGCCTCGAATTAGAAAAAAGAAGAAATTGGTGATTCCTCTGCCAATTTGACCACATACAATATCAAATAACTGATTTACAATCGACAACATTTGTCACTGTCATTTCCGTTGAAAGAAGCGTTATTTACATAGCCACCTAAATCCACATCGTAAGTACATAGTACTACGACCAATTTCCATTTTGTATGAGAAGGTACTATTCATCGAACCCAGGTCTCTTCTATATTCCTCTGAATATTATATTTTGTCATGATTTTGTCTTAGATATATAACATTGTGAAGGCTAGTTTTGTTTAAATCCTTGAGCGATAGAACACATTTGTCAACAAAGATTCGAGAGAACACCATTGAATTATTAATATTTTTCAGTATGTGACTGTCCTCTAATATTATGTTCCGACACTCAATAATTACTAGAGAACAATATTTTCTGAACATTCGTTCCCGAAACGTCCAAAGATGAGTAAAAATTCGATAATTTTTCAATATATCTATATTTCTTTCCTTCAAACATCTTATCAAACAAAGTGTCACTGACAAGCCACTGGATTTTTCGTTTAGACTCCCTGATAGAAAAATTTGTCAAACGCAGTGACATTTGGGGCAAAATACACAATCATAATTAATTAAAATATTCATTATGTCTTCATTCGATTGAATTTTTCTTTCGCAGGATGGATTCTCTGGATCATTTGTATTGGCTCTATCTCGGGCTCCATAGACATAAAATGACGTGTCCAGCCGCGAAAAAAATAAGTTGTAGTGTTCGATCGTTACCCACGGTTCGATGCATTTTTTAATGCCGCAAAATTTATGGATATTATTACATCCTTCGTACATCCTCTTCCGAGAAATGCGACTGAATGACCCTTAAATGAATATTTCAATCACTTTCGTGTGCCGTGAATTCGTTGAACTTTTATCAATGGTGGGACCAGAAATAAAGAAATTATATATGACAACAGACCCCTTTTAAATTTCTCATTTTGCGAATCGCATAAATTTTGCGAAATTCGTTCAAGCATGAACATGTGACACTATGGAAATATTCGGCGATTGACATACTCATATCTCTTGTATATTAACTACAGTACAGGAAAAATATGCCTATTAGAGTTCAACAGTTTTTTACCCCATGGTACGGCTATGGTTGGTGGTCTAAGCACCGTCTCTGTTTATGTTCGGTGGTCTAAGGTCTGCCCACCTAACCTACAAAAGTTAATGACATTCTTACAAATTGTTATCAAATTGAAAACGATTGTTTATGAAACTGACCATAGTGAACCAAGAATTTGATGAGAATAGCTGAGAAGTACAAAATGATACCAACAATAATTACAGGTAATAGGTAGAAGGGATGTCTAGTAAACAGGTGATTGTTCTGGTAAAATGTAGGTGTTCGACCTCAATATCCAAATATAAAGCTATGCATACGCCTTGTATAATAGACATAGATAACCTTCACGATAACAAAACCGACGAAAACACAATCGAAATCATCAAATAATTTGAATAAAATGAATCATTCCACAGGTAGTTCCACTCACACCAAATGTAAACAAACTAAACGAAGCCAGTATCACATCATAAAGAGAAGTGGCATACAAATTTCACTCACCTTTAGACTCTGGATGAGTTAAATAACTCTTGAAATAACGCACAGCATCGCGATTTTTCACTTTTCCACCTTTTTCCACCAAAAAACCGTGAACTTGCTCGAACGTCAGAAGATCGGAGGACATTTTGGAAGTCACTAAAGCGCGCAGGGTGCCAACCTGTCGGAGTTAAAAGTCACTGCGATCCGTCGAGCGGGCCGTTCGCTAGACAAACGACTCCCGCCAGTCTTGCATTTAGTAGCAGCTGCCGTGCTGCGAAAATCGAAGGTTATAAGATGAGGTATTATGAGGAAGGAAAAAACAGAATGTCAAAAGTATGAGGGAAATAACGTTTCTGCAAAGAAGCGAATTCTTTCAACAGAACTCGTTATAAATAATCCTTTTTCTGAGAAGTATATTTTTCGAAAAATTACTAGTGACTATTCCACTCTTGTTCTCGAGAACCAATCAGAATCGACCATTTTCACGGTTTCTTCTGTATTCTAGCGATATTTTCTGTTTATTAAATTTTATCGGACTTGCTCTACTAATACAGATGCCGAATTGACGCACACGTGACCAACATACCTCGTTTATCAGCGATAAAATTTTGACATCGTGTCTGGTCAAGATTGCTTTGGATTCAAACCTGAGACATTAACCTAAGTTCCTATACTTTATTTTATTTACTTAATAGGTATTTGCGTTAGTGAGACATTTTGTACGAAAGGCAAGACAATTTTATTCTGGCTGGACGTTTCATGTGTAATTTAAAAAGTTTGCATATTTGTTGACGGTCTGACACAACAATACTAGAATTCAAATTCCTTTTTGAAGTATTATTCTTCAATTACTCAAGTTATTGTGACTAATAAATTACCAGATGATGTGGCGCAACTGTAGGGTTGTTGCTCGTGAATACGAAGGTCGCTGGTTCGAGCCCCACGCCAACCATATCTTTTTTTAAATTATTTCATGTCACATAAATTCAATTTTTTTTTTTATTTGGATAGCAATTGTATATACACTCTTTTGAGAGCAACCATCTCCAAGATAATAAAAAAAATACTGTTTATCAAAATTGTACATTCCACTTTGAGAATAACTATAAGTAGGTAGTTAATTTCTAAAAAATTGAATTCTGTATTTCATTAATATCATTATGTTCTTCTTCGCAGTCTGAGTTATGTTTCCTATTTCTCATATATATTGTCTCATTCAATCATGAGATAGTCATTCGAATACAACTCGTGGTACTATTTTTCCTGGAAATATTCGTCGATTGACATACTCCAGCGTGCTGCTCTAATTTCGCTCATGACATTGATCCAAAACTACTCGCCTACAGCTCGTAGTTTTGGCAACCAGCTGTCGTAACAATAACCGAATATTTCCGGCAAAATATTATCACTTGTGGTATTATATGTGAAAAAAATTAAAAAAAAAATTGTCGTCTCGCAGGGATTTGAACGCGAGCCACCGCCGTAAAAGTCAGATACACATACCAGTGGTGTGTGTATCATATCTCAGTGGTATGTATTTAAGTTGTATTCAAGTTGTATCAAAGTTGTATTAAAGTTGTTTATTCTTTCTTTCTCTGGTTACATCGCACCAAAACATACACATTGTATAAATATGACTATGTACAATTGAAAGAAAACTGTGACTAGGATCCTCCGCGTGTAGCAGAGGTGGTGTTGGCCAAGGAATGTAAGTACATATGCGAGGTGTTCGTCTCAGAGGCCTATCTCCTGAGGCGTAGCCCATTATATAGGTAATTTCGCTGAGGGTACCCAATGGGGAAGGGGAGTTGTTCAGTCGCTGTCAGTGGTGAGTGCTGTGGATTTGGAGGAGAATAATTAAAAAAAACTAAAAAAACCTAGTTCCTTCTCGTTTTTGCTCAGGCTCAGTATGGTATGATACCACTGAGCTGTTGAGCTTCTTGAAGGTTCTAACTATGAAGAAAGAAGAAATGTCGTGTGGGTTTGTTTATCACAGCAGCATATGAAAATATTGATTATTGTCGAATTATCAGGTAAACATGTTGTATTATGGTTGTATGTGAAATGTTATTTCTTCACGACTGGGTATACCAATGAGCCTACCTATAACTAATTTCACACACCAATTCGACATTTTGTCTATCTATGAAAAAAATATTAAGAAAACGGTGACCACATACGACTATACGACCGTAACTACGTCAATGGCTAATGAAATTCAGAAATGAAAACTTCTAGTAGGTAATTACCTTGATTATTCTGGAATAATATACCAAGTTTCGAATGTCCCTCGGTTTTTCCACAGGGGTCCCGAAGCAATTAATATGATCCTCAATACTTTGATAGGAACATTACATCTCCAAATGAGGTTAGAAATCCGTTTGAGAAGTTTGTCGGTTATAAGTATACTTAGTAATAATGATAATGATGTTGAATCAGAAGAAGAATCTTCAGAAATAAATTGTTACGCTGACGATCACAAAAGACGTTATCAGAAAAATCTGGCGTCTGAATATAGGAAACAGGTGATGATGAATTATAATAGGTAGATAGAACAGGATACATAAACCATGTTCATGACACATTTCGCTATATCAATTGTCAAGATTGCATGATGAATATAATATCGGACGCAGTTTTAATAAACGAAATTGCACATAATTATACCGACAAGAATTGCATTCGTGTGTTAATTAGAAACAGTAGCGTACAGAAAAAAACATCAGAAGAATAACTAGAACAATATTTTCTTCTCAATTTATTCGTGCAAATGTACGAGAAAGAGAGCAAAATAGTTATTTATGCAACAAGTGCAAAAAGTGAATGTTTATTGCCTAACGGCCTCGTCGGACAATTTCACGTCGAGTGCAATAAACAATTTTTGCACGAGTTGCATACAACATTTCTTCTACGTTCATGCAAAAAGCAAAAAATGATTTATTGAGGTGCGGCACTAGGTACAATTCTGTTAATTGTCAGAATTAATTTTTGACTGACGTTTCTATAACCACAGTTGCATTATAGAAAATGTTTGTCATGATGACAGCACGTTGAAGTAGAATGACAGATGAGTGCAATAAAAACTTTATTGCACTAAGTGCAATAAAGAACTTCTTTTTCCACTAAATATAGTTCAATAAAGTTTTGTTTTTTGCATGAATGTAGAAAAATAGAATTGTATATAGTGACCAAAATGCGTTGTTTCTGGGATAGAAGGTGTAGATTTTTGTTGTAAAAAAGTGAGCTTCCATTACAATAGTTCAAAAATGCACTGGGCGATATTAGTAAAATTCATACTACTAGTTTGATTAGTTCTGATCCAGAATTTATATATTTACTCAGCAAGCAAGTTGATTGTTGTTTTGCTGCAAAAATTCTCAGTATTTTTCTGCATTTCATTTTTATTCGATGTGAATCCTAGAATAATAGTAATGGACTTCACCACTGCCTGTATTTTTTCATCTCTATATAATTGGCCAATGAGAATCACAATGATGAATATAGAAAAAAATTTAATGAACTTGTCACAATAATATCGAACATGCTATTGGTATAGATGTGTGGCTGGCCATATACAGAGAGTTGTTATATTCTTCCTTTTTTGATGTGAAGATAATTATGTGATTGCATACCTATTGTGCGTTTTGGCGATAGTTATTCATATTAGATTTCTCGTAAAATTATATGATTCTCTCTTTGGAAAACAATGAAATACAACTTTCTAAACAAAAATTCAACTCGAAAAATGTTTTGCACCAGACCGGCTTTAGAACAAATTGAATTCTGCAAATTTTCAGGAAATACACAGAGTTTTTCATGAAAATTGATTCTCAGCCATAGACATCCATGTCCTCTTTTATTGAGTTTGAAAATATAAATTGTCTCACTTTCCCTAAAATTGTTCAATACGGCACACCCTGTATATGCTATTCTGATGAAGCTCCTCATATATAAGTCATGGAAAACATCCATCCTTCTCAAAGTGGTCCAGATTTTTTCTATATAAGGAAAAAACACAAACACAAAGTCGGTCGACCACAAAGTTTAATTACAGAAGTTTTGTGACTAGTTTCGGCTCAAGCAGCCATCTTCAGACACAATATATAGTACCTGTAAAGATATTGGTTTAAAAGAATAAAATGACATATCGAGGAAAAAAACATACCCATGAAAGGACACGTGGAATCACATATTTAAATTAATTGAAATATGAATAGCAGGGTCATTTGGCCAAAATTAAATCCGGTGAAAAAATTGATTTTTTTTTTAACCGACTGAACAGCCAAAAGAACCGAATAATAATAATTAGATTCAACATTGGCAAAAATTGGGAAAAACCAGCAATAAATTCACTCAAAGGAGTTTCATCTTAAAATGGCCGTTTTGGTATATATAGATTGGAAATAATCGATGGAATTGAAACGGTAATATCAGCATATACCAATTTTCGAGTTGGAAAACTTCTATAACGTGTTGCTTACGTAAATCACCCTGTATATATTTGAATCATTCAGTATACTTCTAAATATCATAAAAGTGTGGTTGGCAGATCAAGTGGCAGATATAACCTGAAAAATTTCGATATTGTCCTCCATAAATCTATAGATTCCATTCAGCACCAGATAAGTTGAATTGGAAATGCATTATTTTGTTTGGGCGTTATAGAGGTAGGAAACGATCTAAATGGAAAGGTAACCCAGATTTTTTGTAACGGAAATAATGACGCACAGCGTAGCATTCTTGTTTTTTTTTTCTCTTGCGAATTTTCTACATGACTGAATAAGCATTATAGAAAATCTCAATAAAACTAAATAATGTATACGCACTTCCTCTAAGTGGTCACTGGAATCAAACAAAACACGACAATTACATTAAAAGACAAGTAGTTTTTCGAGTTTTTCCTCAGAAGAGATGCATTTCCTTAAGTACTAGTCATTGTTACGCTTACAAACAATACTTAATGTCACTCATTATAATGCTATCTTAATGATTCCACTTGTTAAACGAAGATAATTGCCTATGAGGGGAATTAGATTTTTCTAGTGATTTATATTTTTATATATTTTCTTTGTCAGTCGTAGAGGTAGCAATTATTGCACTTTTTTATATGCATTT